TTTTTTTGAAAGCCATATATAAGGAATGAGATATGTGAAAATGTTTATAATTAAATTTTGTGTCCCACCAGACAAAAACTCGTTTGTGCGATCTGATATTAAAAATATACTCATGTATCATAATTATAAGCTAACATCAGAGATTTGCCAAATGAATGCAATTTAATATTGGTGTAATAACATCAATTACATTTTTTTTCCATTTTATTTAATAAAAAAAAAAATGGATGCCATTGTGTCGTTTACAATTTAATAATATATACTATTTTTCGTTTGATTATTTTGTTGCTGTTATCGTTTGTTCTTATTACTATTACTATCATTATTATTATTATTATTATTAATATTATTTTTTATTATTATTTTTATTTTTAATGTTCAATTTAATAGTGAAATTTTCACCTTACCAACAACAAGGCGTGCACGAAATTAATTTATTGAAGTAGCAGCGACACTTTTAATAGTTTCTGATTTTCGTGCAATAAATTAAAGAGGCTAATTAATACGCTGAAATAAAATATAAAAGGAAAAAAAAGATAATTATTAATTCGCTATGATCTCTCACTCTCTCTCACACATTATTGTTAATTAACCTTAATATCATCGTCGATATGCGAAATAAATATATAAAAATAATAATAATACATGGTATGCTATATATATATATTTATAACTTCTCATAAAAAAAAAAAAAAAGAAATTTGATTAAAACTTGCCGTAAAAAGAAGTGTGTATTGCGAATGTATTAATTATATTTTAAATAATTTTACGACGAATGAGTCAGCCATAAGTGAAGTTTTTCTTCAATCAGAAACTTAAGTTTCATTTATTTTATAGTTTAAACAATTGTATACTAAATAGTATACATATATATGTATACACGTGCACACACACGACACACACAAACACACACGCGCGCAAACGTATTACAGTTACGTATTAAAGTTTTATTTAAATACGAAGGAAGTAAAAAATAAATGATTAAAAAGAAAAGTAAAATCACCAAAAATAATTATGCACATTCCTCGATACAAAAAAAAAAAAAGAACACAATACTAATAAGTACAAGATTTGCCAGTGATTAATTTAAGTAAATTGATATTTCTTTAGTTGATTATTTATAAAAACAAACAAAAAGAAGAACAGAAAAGAAGCATATTATACATATATATACATATATATATATATGTATATCATTACGTAACCCTACGTTTTGCTTAATCAAGCTAATCATTGTATAAGTGAAGAAAAATATGTGTGAATAAAATGTCGAAAAAGTATGAATTCATTCAACGTGAGTCCTTTCCTTCAATATCGATTATTCGTATGTGTAATTTTCATTTTGCGATTAATATTTTTTATGTCTAATTAATACGATTGTATAATAACGTATATATATACAGGGAAGAAGGGTGTTTCATATTATGTGGGAGACATTTCAGAAATGAACAGAGAAACACGGAAAACAATGAAGAAAATTCGTATAAACGTGTATCCTATTTACATTTACAATTAAATACAACTTGTTTTAATTTTTATAGTCACTTTTATGTTCCCATCATTTGCAACAGTTTATCTTCATAGAAAGTGTTTGAATATCTTCGCTACTGACAATGAGTGTCGAATGTATTATCGTTTTTAAATGACCACATAAATAAAAATTTAATTAAGCAATTGTAACTTTTAAAACAGAACGAATAAAACACATTTCATATACTTATTGCGAAGATGAGTTATCGTTGATTATTAAAATGTAAAAGTGGCTATAACTTTGACTAACAAACAAACAAAAAAATAAAATAAAAAATCAAATAGGATTAAATGTTAGTATGAAGTTTTTTCGTTGTCTTTTGTAGACAACATAATAGATATACTATTCATTCCTGAAGTGGGGATACCATATCTTACGAAACACCCTGTATATTATATATATATATAATATGTGTGTGTATTTATTCGAAGAATCGTTCTCTCTCAAAAAAAAAAGAAAAAAAAAAGAAACATTTGCACTCCTGCAAATCTATATTAATCTTTACGAAGTAAGTATATCTACAAATTCGTTCAAATGATTATTATTTAAGCGAACAATTCTATAAGTAACCATAAATTATAATAATAATAATAATAATAATAATAATAATAATAATAATAATAATAAGTATCAAATGAGAAAACGATGTATTCGATAATAATATTCTACAAATGCGACTTTGTCATTATAATTGTAACTTATACATGTGTATATCTATAAAAAAAAAAAACAAGCACAAAATTATACGATTCAATACTTATCTACGCGTTTATCGAAAAAGCATGTTATATACATATTTAAAAAGAAGAAACTAATAAAAAACAAATATACTCTATTAAGTATATAACAATATTATATATACTTCCAAATATATTAATGATATCAAATCAAGATATTAAACTCGAAAGGCTGTTATTGATCATTTCTGACATAGTTAATCTGATAAGGAACGATAATATGCAAAAAAAAAATAACTGGATTTAGAAACGTGTTACGTGGATTAGCTAGAAAGCAAAAAATAAGAAACGAATGATGATTGAATACGCCATTTTGTTTCTGCTTCCATCACATTTTCAATTAATTAATTAATTGATTGATTGATTGATTGATTGATTTTATAATTTTAAATTACCAACACCGACAAAGAAAATCAAGTTTTAAATATTACACACATTCTAATCTCAATTACGTATGCAAACCGATTCCTCGGATTAATTAATTTTATCATTTTTAAGTATTTTTATCACAAGCTACAATTTATGTTTCATTCGGTGATTTTTCTTGTAAATCATCATTCCCTTTCCCCGTTATAACATACATACACATGCTGGTTTCCCCCCATCCTCCCCAGCCCTCCATCCTCTTCTGTTTAATACGGTGCACGTTGACCCACACACATTTTTCACCAACAAAAAATTATATATATTTATCTTGTCGTTATATACATATATTTAGCATAATATATATTATTTCTTTTTTAAACGTTTATATATTAATTAATTGTCTCGAATATTCGCACAAAAAAAAATTGATAATTACTTAAATGAATTTAAAAGGTCTTTGAATAACGTGTTAAAAGTAGCAAGCTTGTTACGTTTGGTCACGTGCTCGTGAATTAAGAAAAAAAAAAAAAACAAGTAAATAAAATAAAATTTGCAAAATTAGAATTACTCATATACATATACACACACACATAGATTCATACATACATGTCATAAATACAAATCACAAAATCGCCTTTTTGCTTTCAGTGGTTGTTTGTGTTCAGTATTATTATCATATTTATTACAAACGAAAGCTTTTTATATCTTAGCTATTATCAATATTACAGGAATTTTGTAAATAACCGTTTTAATTGGTATTAGTAATTTTCGAAAATGAAATATAAAAAGTAAATTAAAAAGAAAAAAACAAGAAAAAACAAGAAAAGAATTAAAAGTTGAACTTCAAAAAATCATAAACGTTGTAAATTCGAATATGCGATCGTGACTTACATATATGTTTCATTCAAAATATCTATTATATAACATCAAATATAACAATAATCCTACACGTAGAAAATAAAATAACAGATTAATGTGTTACATATTCCAATTTTTTATGTTCATTACTCTTTCGAATTGTCCTTTTTATTTTTATTTTCCTCAGATTTCCTTTCACTCATACACATACCACATAAACTCATTAAAGAGATTAGGACAAACACGTAAACACATGCAGAGAGTATTGCGCATTTAGAACGAACACATGCATTGTAATTGCAAAGGCTTTTGTTTATTATGAGGAATCAGGCGGGTCACGTGGCTATTAATGTGTTGCAGGGGGGGTGGGACGCAATTGGAAGCATGTTGGCGATACAACTGGTCAAGTGGTGATGCAGGGTCCAGGATGTTTTTCCTGCAGACTCTGTGGAAGCGTTTACAAGCACCTTGCTTCGCTGACCCAGCACCTCGAAGTGCATCGCAACCAGACGACCTGCATCCTATGTCACACCACTCTCAGTCGTAGAACCGACCTGCGACGTCATATGCGTCTGAAACATAACATGCAATGGCAAAAAACGATGCAGAGGCAACGCAGTCCGAAAAAAAAATTGGACTCGTAATTTTAAAAGACTCCTCCTCGTTATTTGTTTTTTTTTTTTGTTCTTTATCTTCTCTTATTTTATCTTTTTATCGACGCGATTAATTATTTCTCTCATTTTCTTTCTTTCTTTCTTTCTTTTTCTCTTTCTATCTCCATTGAAAAAGATAAAAAAAAATTCAAGTCAACATTTTCAATCCTTTATCGACGCGTCGAACGAAAAATATTTTTGTTCTCTTTTCATACACAATATATATAGCTTTCTTTTTTTATATTTTTTGTTGTTGTTCTTTTTTTTTTGAAAGTTTATTATACTGAATCCTTTTATAAGCACGGTTTATTCGTTCTCGTGTTTAAACTAAACAGTAGCGATAAAAAATGTCTGCTATAATGAGACTGTTGTATGAATTTATTTTAAGTTTTACCTATATGGGAAATGTGTTATAAAAATATCGTGTTATAAGAGGATTGAGGGATATTTTTCTTTCACCATCCGCGTATATTCGTTATATATCATTCGATATTTTTATTTTTCAATACTTGTCGACCGATCCAATTATATTTGATAGGATGGTTATATTTAAATATTGAAAATTAGTAGATTAGTAGATTAGTTTATCTTAATCGTGATAAATGTCTATTGAAAAAAGAAAAAATAAGAAAAAAGGAAAAAAAAAAAGGAAGAAAGAAAAAATAATTACACAAATGCGTAACACACTCGCTTTCATCTTCTAGTCATCGATGACTGAGCTTAGAAAATAATTCTAATTAATAATTTCGTGATCTCCTTTTTAAATCTTACGTTAGTTTATATTTATTTACATATTATTATATTAATATTCAAAGTTCCTTTTCATTTTGTCAACCACATTGCTCTCTCTCTCTCTTTCTCTTTTTTATTTTATTTTATTTCTCCAACAAATCATATCAAAATTATCATTTTTATTTAGTATTATTACTCTCTGAGATATGAACTTATAAGACTACAAAAAAAGATATCCTTAAAAAAAAAGGGGACGGGAATCAAACTTTGTCCTCATAATCCGCCATATTTGTTTCCAGTGACTTGCTTGCAATCATAAATCGATATCATATCGTTTACTATCAAAATCGTCTCGTTCGAATTATAAAATTAAATAAAAAAGAAAGAAAAAAAGATCGATAACAGATTTTTCGATCGAAAAAATCGAATGATAACAAAAAAAATCAACATTCTACCTTTTCGTAAAAATGGCGTTCACGTATTTCACACTCGTATACACATATTACATACACCACTCATACAAAAGCCCATACACAAAACCAATACAATATACTAAGAAGAAATAAATGAAATAGAAAAAAAAAAACAGTTTAAAAAAAAATAAAGAGAAAGAAAAAAGTTAATAAATATAATTAAAAAAAAAAAGAAAAAAGAAACAAAAAAAGAAAAGGGTTTTCTTTGTGATCGACGATGGTGTTTTTAGCTGCTTCGAAATCACCGTTAAAATAGACAGTGCCTTACACGCGGCTATCTAATTTCCACGTTTGACGATACATTGATCCTTTATCAGATAGTTACCATAGTTGAAACATGACACAATTGTAAAGAGTATAAATTATTATCTAATAGTAATGACTTGTTATAATTTTTTGTTATCAGCTTTGCCCTGATCATATTATCATCATCTTGCGTAAAAAAAGAAAAAAAATATTAAACAAAAAGAATTAATACAGAAATAAAATGCAAATACAAAAAGAAAAAAAAATAAAGTGCGAAAAATAATACAAAAAACAAATATTAAAAAGTTACACCGAGAAATGACAATATTTCTCTCAACTCGACGAGTCGACCCTACTAATGGGGGAAAAAAAAACCAGACAGAAACCATGATGCAAATTCGAATAATTTCATAAAATTTGAGGGATCGAAAATTTTATGTGTACGGGAAAGATTATGCGATGTGTTACATATGTTCGTAAGAGAAATGATTTATGTTTGACAGAAAATGTGAACTTTTTGAGGAATGCTAATTGAGAAAAGGTCTTGTAAAGTATTTACAATTAGTCATTTATAATAATAATAATAAATATTAAGATATCGTTCCACTTATCGAAACACATGCTTGATCGTAACGCTGTGCATACGTATAAGTCGTTAATAATATATGATATATATATATTATATATATATTATATATATATAACATATAAGTGATTGTATTCAAATGTAAAGTAGTTTGAGTAATGTTGAAAGATAATTCACCGAAATATCGTAACTCGTTGTAATCGAACAAATATGGGAATGAAAACAATCGATTTTTTTTTGTTAATTTATTTGTAATATTATTATTATTATTATTATTATTATTATTATTATTTGTTTTTTTTTAAGAACATTACTTTACAGTACAGTCAGTGATCTCACTTTTTAAAAATACGACGTTTATCGAATTGATTTAATTCTGTTCGAATTTCTTTCGATTTTTATTTCTTATTGTTATAATTTTTTTGTTGAAATAATGTTTATGCAATTGTTCCGTCAATCTTTAATCATAACGTATTTAGAGTGATTATAATAATTACTATAAACGCTGCATACGCACCTATGCAATTGTGCATAGTAAGTGTTGCTTATATTGGATATTCGTAATTATTATTATTATTATTATATATATATATATATATATAAGTGAACATTTAGAAAGAAAATTTTCAACTAACGTACTTGTGTGCACGTAAAGTAAAAAGAAAAAAAAAGGATAAAAAAACTCAATGGCAAGAAAATTTTAATGTCCGCTCTTAAGTTATTCTAACTTGTCGACGTAAAAAAAGAACACGATGATCGAAAAATTAACAAATGAAAATATAATAAAATAAGAGAAGTAAAAATTTAATTATAAAAGTTTAAAAAGACATCCGCATGGTCGATAAAGAAGAAATTTGTCAAAATTTCTAAAATACGATTTAGATGTTAAATAAAACCGACTAAGTAGCATATTTATCATAGTATTTATATACACGTTCGGCTTAAAATTCATTTGCACAAGAAGTACGTAGAAATATATATATATATATAAACGAACAATTCACATAACAAAAATCACGCGATGAGTATGTATTTATTTTTAAGTTTAATAATGGCGTATAAATGCGAGAAAGAAAAAAAGGAAGAAGAAATAACACCGAAGAAACGAGAGCACAGATTCACGATGATTATTAAAAAAACGGAGCTATTCTGTAGATAAGATAATGACGTTGAACGTTCGGGTTATAATGAACGAATATCTTTCGTTCTCGTTTTAAATACGTATGTATTTTATTATAGATCTTATATCTACGAGTTTGTAACGTAATCAAAGGCAATGTAAGACTATGCTTAAAAGATGTTATTGCTGTAATGTAAATAAAATGATTTGTGATGTACCTTTCCTGATGTACAATTTTTCTATTATTTCAAAATGAATTATATTTCACGATGGTTTGCAGTTTGATTCGCAATCGGTTTACCGCGCTTTTATGTATCTCAAATTAGAGTAAATAATTCATCAACTATTACAATTTATATGGTATATAATTAAAAATAAAAATAAAAAAAAAATACTTCAATGGCATTCAAATAAAAATGACGTAGTGTTTGTTAGAGTTATATGTTTTTGTAGAATTTTTGTTTTATTTATATTGTGACCTATTTCTTAGAGTATCAACATTATTACATATTATTTAATATTATTACATGTAATAAAACAACAGAATGGAGGATGTATAGATAAAAGATATTAAATTGACAAAAAATTTAGGAAGATAAATTCAAGTATAAATTTATAGAATCTTCAGGAACATGGAAACCAGCAAGGAATATACAAACTTCAGTATCTCAGCGTCTTCTGCAATGCAAGAAATGTGGTGTTACATGTACCACACAGCACGCACTACTACGACATATAACATCAAAACATGAAAATTCATCAAACGTTGCAGCTTATTGTGGGATTTGTCATCGTTTCTTCAAAACTAAATGGAGCCGAGCAACACATAATAGCAGATATCATAGAAACTAAGATCTTGATTTTATTTAACGAACTTATTAACGAACAACATTATGTGCTCATTTTATTTCTAATTGTTTTTTATTAAAATAAAAAAAAAAAAAAGAGAGAAAAAACATCGAATATAAAAATGTAGAATTTTTAAATCTATGTAAATTTCATACTTCTTTGTAAGAAGGATACTGTATTATCAGTATTAGAAATGATTAGAATAATTTAGTAAGTTTTGCATAATATTTTAAAGATATTTGGTATAGCTATTTTAGAGATAATAGAAACACATAAACATATTGAAATTAAATATTATAAGCCTGTGGTCATTTATTCACTATTGTTGTCTTTCCATTATGTGTCGTAGAATTAAATAGATATGCATACTACATTAAAATAAGTAAATAAAAAAAAAAGTAAAAAAATAATCCAATATATTTATAGAAGCTAGAAATACTTTTAATAGTCACATTACAAACACATTATTTATATGATCTATTGTTAATGTAATCTTATGATTTCTATGTTACTGCTGGCTCTACTTGAAGAAGTATTTTTTTTAAACTGAATTTAAGTGTAACTTTTGTTAAGTTGACGTATTTGTTATTTCTTACAAGTAGTAGCCTTCCCGCATTTTTGCTTTTATTAATTACAAAGTCACATATGAAAAACAAACTACATTAAGCCTCCTCTTAACGCAAGTACTAAATGTAGTACCGATCCACCTTGTACTTTATAATCTTGTGCTGTTTTTTCGTCGTTCCTGAAATCACACACACACATATATATATATAATAATTTGATTTAAAATAATAATTATATATAAATCAAAGGAATTTGAAATTTTTGTAGAAACAGTATTACTATTGTCTTCATAATAATATAATAATACATTATTAAAATATAAGTATACGCTATATATATATATATATTATTTGTGACTAATATATATATTAATGTGTAATAATCAATATCATTAACATTGTTCGAATCCTAAATATTAAATCAATATTTGTATTTAAGAAATCCTTATTAAAAAAAAAGATAAGTATAATTTGATAAATATACATACATTTGTTTGCCAGAAAATATTAACCGCTGCTGTTGTGGCGGTATTCCTTCCTTTTCTTCCACTCTTTCTTTGATTCTTTCTACTTTGTCGGTAGGTTCTATATCTATTTCAATCTGCACAATTGATAAAGATTATACACCGCTATAATATTCATAGAAATTATTCACATGTAAAATATATATTTTTAATAGAGTAAAAACAGTTTTTCATTTACACTTTTTTTTCTTTTTTACTAAGCGTTCAATTCTTTTCAACTTGATAGACATACTAACTTATTATATTACTATTTTTTTTTTAAATATAGAGATACAATACCATAGAATATTAATATGATCATGTTCATATGAAAATACTTACCTCTTTGCCCGTAAGTGTCTGAAAAATATAAAATGGAAAAGAGTTGAAATAATAATAAACTCTTAGGTTAATAAAGATATTATTAAATTCTGTCAACACATATATCTCTTACCTTCACTTTGATCAACATATTTGTATATTACTGTAAATATAATATTTCCTAATATTTAAATTAATGTTACTAATTAATCGTATTACTTGCCGGTATAAATTTATCAGTACTGATATATTACTTAAAATTGGTTCTTGGTTAATAATTATTAAATTTTAGCTCTCATTCGTTTTCAACTCCATCTGATGGTTAACAGTAACCCAAATGAAAAGGTGTATTTTCAAAGCTATTCAATGACATTTAGTAACATTTAAATGGACAAAATATAAAAAAAGGTAACGTTATATTTATTACTGATTAAACTACTGTTTATTTCGTAATAATTGAACTCTTATATTCATTAAATATATATTATTTGATTCGTTTAATATACAAAAATGGTATATTGATTAACGATTCACTTTTATCAACAGTATAGCCAACAGTTAAACTTTTAACGTAATCTATACCATTTTACTAACCTATACGTATAAACTACTTTTGATTAAACTGTTCATATGTATGATTAGTATACATTGAATGATTCTATCAATAGGTAAATGTGCGTATCTTAGCACATGTACAAACAACTTTGAGGTTATAGGTTAGGTTTATAGGTTAGGGCTGTAATTGTGTTTACATCTATGCTTGTTTAAAACTGAATGAAAATTGTTCTCAATTAGGGATTAATAAGTTTAGTTAATTCTAATTATTTTATAGTATTATTTTTATTTATATTCGTATATCCTCAAGCAGCAGTTTTATTTTCAGTTAACATTTCAATTAGAATTAAAATATAATTTAAAAAAATGGAAGTTAATGTCAATGACGTAGTTATGCCAGGTGATATTGTTAAAGATATTAAAAATGATAAAAAAGAAAAAATAATATTGGGACCAGGACTTCGACGTGAAGCTGATACTGTTTATATTTGTAAAGCTGGTACTTTAAAAAAACGAGCTCCTGCTATTTATTATGTAGACAATTATCAAAAACGGTTAGATTTTTAATATTTAATCTTATTTTATATTTAATTTTATTTGACGTATACTTTCTGTTTTATAGTTATATACCTAATCGAAGAGAAATGGTTATCGGTATTGTCACCCAAAAAGTAGGAGATATATTTAAAGTAGATATAGGTTCTAAAGAGAGCGCGTCTCTATCCTATTTGGCTTTCGAAGGTGCTACCAAGAAAAACCGTCCAGATATACAAATTGGAGATGCTGTGTTTGCTAAGTTACTCGTAGCTATTAAAGATATGGAACCAGAACTTGTATGCGTTGATTCAGAAGGAAAAGAAAAAAAGTTAGGCTTATTAAGTTCTGATGGTATGTTATTTAACTGTTCCTTAAATCTCGTAAGGAAATTACTTAATCCAGATTGTATGTTACTTAAATTCCTTGGTAAAAGCCAACCGTACGAAGTTGCCATTGGCATGAATGGTAGAATATGGGTTAAAACTAAGTCAGTACACCAAACTATTGTCATCGCTAATGCTATTTTAGTGGCTGAGTATACGCCCATTAATAAGATGCAACAATTATGCAACTTTATTGAAAAAACATTACTTATGTAGGAATATATCTAAAGCTAGTATATAATTAAATAAATAATTATTATGAATAAATAAATATACCATCTAAATACACAATAATTATGAATGATTATTTATTGTATATTTGTTATGATTTTTATAAATAAAGTAGCATGACTTTTATAGTGATTATAATGACAACCATCATCACAAAATGTTTAATGGAAACTACAAATAGTTGATGTAATTCCAAGTTAAAATACATTATATTCGTATATTTAAATATATATATTTAAATACAGAAAATGTGAGATTAACTCATAATTCATAAAATAATATTTTTTAAAAGAAACAGGATATGGGAGGGCGATTAACCCTGTTTTATTATATGCTTTTACGCCGATTGCAATTGTATATCTTGCGCAGCTAAAATATTTCCTAATTTGTTATTTACCAAAACATTATTAATTACATTTAATATGTATAAAAACTTGAAAATTTACTATGCGTAAAGAATAAGTTATGTTTGCAAGGCCCAGCGCTTGTTACTAAATGCACATTGATATTATTATTTGTCACTCTTTTTTTTAGCTTATTAACTTCAGGATTTGTATTATTTCTGTGTTATTTTATTCCAGGATAAATTATAATCTAGTTATTTTCTTCTTCATTTAATTATTATTATTTTAATTATTATTATTATTATTATTATTATTATTATTATTATTATTATTATTATTATTATTATTATCATCATCATCATATAATACACGGTATTGCTAATAATTGCAATCAGTAAAAATCTAAATGCCAGTGGTGAATAAGAATGATCTTGTGTTTTTCTCTGATATGTGCCTAATGTTTGTTTTCTGACTTACTGCAGTGAAATTACTACATTCTAATTTAATGATAGTATTAGACACTCAAGCACAACCTTTACTTTCTCCATATCTTTTTGTATAAATACTTAAATAATATTCAAATTATGATAGAAATATTCGACTTCCATATATTGATCAATAAAACTAATATAGAAGACATTTTTGTACTTGATGGAATGTGCAATATACATTAATTTAATGTTAAACTAAATAAATCTATTAGATAATCATTGGTTAAATATTATTGCATGGATCACTTACAAAGGTCTTATAATTGATCAAGATTACATTTACTGTAACGACATAATATTATAAGACCAATGATTTTCTAATATTTCAATTATCATACAACGAATAAAATATAGATCATCTACTAAAAAAGCAGTATTACAATGAATATTCTAAATGGAACATTTCATATTATAACTAATTAATTTAGTAAAATAAAATAATAATATAATGAAAAACAAATAGGTACACAGAGTATAATTCTAATAATTGATAATACGATTAATGTATCATATTATATTACAAAATAAGGTCTATTATATCAAATATTGATTTTTCGATACGTTAATTTGTTATAAATGAATAAAGAAGAATACAAAAAGTGGACAACAAATTAACAATCATTAAACGAGTATCTAATATGGAATTATTTATCACATTATTTTAAATAATAAATCATTTTAATCAAAATATTTTTCTTTTTTCGTGCTTTGGCCTATTATGTTATTTTTAATGATAGTTATCTATTTTTCATCACCACTTAATGAAGCATGTAAAACTAATATTGATATATCAATACATGATACGTTTGATGAAAAGCATTTGTGATTTTTACAAAATGATGAGTCATTAGAGATGTTCATTTCGTGTTATTAAATTTGGAAAAATATTCTCGACTCATTTATCGAAATATGAAAAACGTGATATTGACAGTGTATTTGTATTTGTAATTTTTCTTTTCTTTTTTTTTTTTTAAGTACTCAATAAAATAGTACTCTGTTATGCATGAAAGGCATTATACTTCGTTAATAACACGTTTCGACAATAGGCCTTTACATAAAGATCATAATGTCAATAAGAATGTAAAGATTGAAAGGTATTTTGTAAAAATCACAAATCAGCTTTCATTTATCTGGTATGTCATAGGCAATATGTATGTTAGGGACGATTTATGGTGCCATTAATCACCATTATTCTATTATATGGTACTGTGCCTTATCTTACTTTTTTCACAGGATTGTATTATAGTTTCACCAATATAAAAATACCATATAACTAACTCGGTAAGTGCCCAAATTTAATGCTATTTTCACATTCTATTTTTTTTTGTTCTTTTTTTTTTTTTTTTTCTTTTTTAAACTACTTCGCAAGAAATACAATAAGTATGTCGAATAGTGTTGAAAGAATATCAGCGAAGATAAATGATCAATCATTCTTAATGATTATGTATGAAATAATTGCACATAGTGCAATTCCAAATTGTGTTGTTAATACAATCCTGTTAACGAATTAATCATTATAAGAATATTCTTATTATTTAACATTGCGAGTGATATTTGTATTACATTTTTTTCAGGCTTTGGTATATTAGTGGTTTTTTCTGATTAATCGAACAATCCTCGATTGTTTTTCTCAGATAGCTTTGGTAAATATTATTAGACATTTAATGTATACTGCGTTTCTAATATGATATATTTTAATGAAAATGACTAATTTTATGATTAACTTATTATTATAAGTATTTAAAACCTGAAGTGCCATACCACAGAACTATAGTTTCTTTTAAATATATAAACACGAACATTGGTTTTTTGAAAGACCGTCAAAAGCAAAACTTAATTAAAAGATAATATCTTTTTAACAGTATTTAACAAATATATCTCTCCATTTCATGAATAAAATAATGATATACAATAAATGTCGTTTTTGTTATCGAATTAAATAAAAGGTACTCAACGAAATATATCTAAATTTCTTTGTTAATCTATACTGTTTGGAAAAAATAAATTTGTTTAAGCAAAAAATTTTCTTGCTCAGACACGTTTCAAATGTTCATTATTTAATAACATTTAAAATAATCTATCCCTGTTCAGGAATTTAATATAAATCTTGAAAAAAATCAAGAAGGAACATTATGTACTACATATGAGTTATGCCAAACAGCAAATATGTTGAACTGCCGTTGAAGCTCAAAATTGCACCATAAAATTGTGTGTCTACGTGAATAAGTAGATAAATATTATCATTGCATTTTAGCATAATTATAATTTACATATAAAAAATTGTCTTTGCTTAATAGCTAAAATATTATGATGCCTTGGCTATATAAATATATATATATATATGTATATATTTATATATATTTATGTTTATTATTTTGGTATTATTATATTATTCTTATGTATTTGTTTATTAGTGTGTATATATGTGTACATATATATTTATATGTATATATATATATATATACCATTCACAACACAGAGTGCATAGTACGAAGCCATATTAGATCTGTTAATCCCTATTGCGTGATATATTTGATACATTTCGGATTACATTTAAAGGGAAAAACAGATCGTTAAGCCTCAATGTAACAACGCACAACCAAGTTTTTTATACAACCTTTATGCACCAAATTGCCTTATTTGGTGATAAGAGTAAGTTTAATGTTTTTATACAATATAAGCTCAAGTAAAGAGAAACATTTTTCTTTGTTTTTTTTTTATCCCTTCCTATTATAATATCATAGCAAAATTAACATTAAAGAATATCAAATTCTTAGCTGAATAAATCTTGATACATCTGCAGTGTATATGTTTAAACAAAAATAGAAATTGATTATATTACTCAAAATTAATCAACGAAATATACTCTCTTAAAGATTTAAAAAAAAAAAAAAACACAAATTTCAATAATATAGTTAAAATAACAGAAACGTATTAAAAGTTATGGAATTTCTTATTTAAACATTAATTGACCAAGTGCGATCTAATATCAACTAGTTATGAATATTGCAAATAATATTTTTGTAATATTCTTTATCGATTATAAAAACTTTTCTGCGAAAAGTCAGATCTATTTAATTGATTGTATCAAAATTAGCCTATCCTATTTAATGAAGAACAGAATTTTTTACAGAAAAAAGGGCAGAGAAGATTCAAATAACTTCAATAGACCTATATGTTCCTTATATTGCGTCAAATATTTCTGGAACTTCACTTATCTTTCATTTTAAAGGTGTTATATCCAAAATATTTTGAAGTATTCTATTTTTAATCCTAAATCCTGCTTAAAGTATCATCGTTATAATTGGTAAAAATCTGTTCAGAGCATTTGATACATAAAGAGACAATTATAATTTCCTGTATAACAGATACTGAGTTCTTTGCGTTTATTCAAAAGTAGTTTATCTCGAGACTTATACTTATTAAAATTGAATTGCTTTCTTTTTTTTTCATTATATTTTTTTTTACGTCATATTTAATTTTTGAACTTAATCGGTGTGTGATGGTGATATAAGCTTTATTATACCTTGAACACTTGGTCATAATCATTTGAATAAAAACATGGATGCTTTTTTTTTGTTATATATAAGCAACCAGGAATGTCAGTGATATAAAAGCAAAGTTATTTAAGATCATCAAGATCTGAATTGCACTTACATGTTGTTTAATTGATACTGCTATGGTTATCAAGATTATGCCAAAAGCATATTATTAACATTGTAAATGATAATGAAACATTATTACTTTTTAATAACAGTTTTAAAAATACTGAAGCATTGAATCTTCTATAATAATAATAATAATGTTACTAACGTTTTCTATTAGAATCATAAGTAAAAATAGCACTCTCTTTGCATGTCATGAAAAAATATGTAATGCACATTAAAACACTACTTAAAAAAGCAATTACTTATTAAAAAGTATCTTTTTAGAATTAGCTTCACACACACACATATATACAAATATATATGCATATGTATATATATATACATATATAATATAACAACAACGAAAAATATTACATCTTATAAAGATGTAAAACAAAGGAACTGGTTACGATCATTTTTGCAGATATAAAAAAAATTTATTTTTTTTTAAATCGGCAGTAAATATATCTAAATTTACCTAATATTTTGAACGATTAAAAAGTGCACAGCGGTTTTTAAAAAGATGTAATCATACATATTCTTTTCATGAGTGCTCAAAGATAATTATAATTTAAAAGTTTTAATAATTGGTGCCCCCTAATTTATGCAAAACAGAAGTTTATGCATAATAAAATTAGATCTTGTTTTATATAACTTCAGTTTGTTTTTCTTTTTTTTTCCCTCAAATATTACGTCATATAGAATTATTCTTAAAATTACAGTCTTACTAAATAATTTTTGGCTCAAAGGAGTTTCTCACTTTAGCTCCGTTAACGAGCAACAAGAAATTAGCAAGTTTGAATGACAAAACTTTTTCAAAAATCTACTTTGCCATTTCACAAAGTCTAGCAGAGTCTTACTTTTGCTTTGAACACTTTACATTGTATTGTGTCTAAAAAATTTAGTTTATCTGAATGCTCCAAGCATTGATACATACTTAGACATCTACATGAATACAAATATGATTCCAATTTTCTTTTTCTTTTCTTTTTTTTCCCCCTTTTTCTTATTTTTTTTTTTTAGTGGCCCTGCATTTGTTGCACTTTTATAATAATCACGTGAGGCTATTTGAAATACAACCTATACACACTTATATATGATATTTAAATCATGCGCTGCTCTTACCCATTCATTTAAAAAGACAAAAATCCTCCATGCAGAAATCTAATTTAATGATTGCTAAAGTTGCCTGGGCTGCACTACGTTGTTATTATTTAGGCGTGTTGTAGTTTGATTGTTAAAATTTTCATCTTGCGGAATGTGTTCTGTCCTTTCGTCAAAAAATCCAGGATTCAAAATAATATTTGGAACAAGTTCAATCACCTCCTGCTCCTCCAGCTGCGCTGCAATTTCGGAACGGAGATTAATTTTCATTGGTCTAGGCCATTGATTATATTAGCTTCTACCCTGTCCCTTTTTAAAATTATTTGTCAGGTATTATAATAACAGTGCTTCTAATCAAATACATTGTGTGTTGTAACTAATAAACATACACTAATTAATATTATTTAATTAATTATCACCTGACAAATAAACCTCGCTACTTTTATTCTACCTTTTTATCATAACCAAATATATATATATATTCTAATATAACGTATTTATTATCTAGGCCACAATGCTCTACCTCTATCATTGTATTTACTATTCATTACACCTATCATTTCTACGTAATCATAATTTTTAAATATCAACCGCCAACACTTATTAAACATATTTACAACTACTAATGTTAATACGTTTATTAATAATACTTCTCGGGTTTTTTTTTAAAGTTACATTTAATAGTTTATTTAAATATACAGTCTATTATGGTAATTAAATTAGATTAAATTAATAAGGTTAGCGATTAAAGAAAACAATTGAAAAGGATCGTAGTACGTATCATTCCTAGAAATGCTATAGAGGTGCTCTATTAGAAAGGCAAACTGTCTGAAGAGAAAGATTTGATAGAGTTACCTTAATACCATAGATTATAAAATGTGTGCAAAAATTAAAAAAAGTGTTACAATGAAATATTTATAAATATTAGAAAGATTTTAATAATTAATTAATAATATAAAATTTGCAGAGCGCTTGCAGTAAGGGAAGTATTAGTGAATAGTAATTGGCATTGTAATATTAGAAATAGAATTAAGTCGAAATTGAGAGATGAAAGTAGCTGATTTAAAAGAAAGCTAGAGATTAGGGCCATAGATAAGTTTAATGATTTGTGCTGCTGTTATATTTGTTGTTGAATTCAAAAAGGACGATTGAAAATTAAAAGGTATAATTGAATAGAATGTTGTTAAATAGAATGAATAGTTACATTAATATGAAGTTTAAAGATTTTAGTTTGATAGCAGAAAAAGCAGCATAGAAGAGATAGAGTAGAAGCAAAAGCTTTATACACAGTTATTAGGAAATGCTTACAGGGTGCCTTGCACTCACGATAGAGGAGGCAACATGTACCTATACCAAGAAACAAAAGTGTTCCCATAACAATGCCTACTGCTGCAATCCAAATACGGATGTCAAAATCTTCTACACCCGCTAAAAAATGTCTTGCAAGTTCTAAAACAATAATTTATATTTATATGGAAGAATATAATACTAAGTATAATATTTATTAGGTGTAGAAATTGATTCGGTGATTTTTTTTTAAACAAATTTACTATTTATTTATAGCACCGAATTAATTTCTATACATAATATGTATGTACATATGTATATATACAATAGCATTTGCTTAAAAAATAAACAAAATATCCCTATTCATTGATACTAGTAAATAATAATACAGTGCCTACCCAATTCTTCCACGCTATGATGCGTATGATTTTCAACTTCTACTATTTCTCCCCTACCCAACTGATTGGTAGCCCACACTCGAAAGGAGTAAGTCGTGTTTGGCATCAAATGGTACACATCAATTTGTCTCTATATTATTGGAAAACACAATAAGATTGAAATAAATTATATTCGACGATGAAGGTCTATGGTATTATAAAAAAGAAATGACAAATATTACAGAATTGGGAGGAATGTGCGTTGGTATAATGGGCTTCCATTGTTCCGATTTCTCACCATCGTTTGCTTTTAGACGATATTCGGCAGTAAAATCTATGATAGGATATCCACCTGTACCACCGACTTCCCAAAGAATATTAGCCAATATCGTAGATGGCTTTACCCAAACATTTCGCAAAGCTGGTGGTGGTGCTAAAATAATCATTCAATTATTATTTCATTTCATTCGCGGATATCGAATGCATTGTCAATGGCCTAAAAAGAAACAAAATAAACTTACTTCTAACTTCTATATTTATTCTGGATTTAACAGCATCCAAGTCGTCGTCCAAGGTACAAGAGTAATTTCCTGCATCGTCTGTGCTAACATTTACAAGTTCTAGCATGCCATTAGACTCAACTTTTAACCGCTTAATCTGCCCATCTTCACGACCTTCTCTTATCCACATTACTCCGGGAGAATCTGTATGTGGAAGAGCATCTTCTTCTGCACAAGCTAATATAAGAGCTTGACCTACATCTACGGCTACATGGCGTACTTGTATTAAAGTTGCTACTCCCTGCCATCCTAAAAATATACAATTAATTAACTTTTTGGTTTTTTAATATTTTTAATAATTATACATTTTCAATATGCATTTATGTATATATTGCAGTTTTCATTTTTAAAAGTAGGAATGAAATAAATTATGGAATAGTATGAAACATTTAAAAAATATAATAATAATAATAATAATAATAATGAAAAAAAACCAAGTTATATCATATGTTCTTTAATTTCTAAATATCTTTTGATTACTCTACTAAAAATACTTTAAAAAAAAAAGTTGTAAATTCCTATGACGCGTTGTTAACAATAAAAATATTTATCTATGCCATAATAAAAACAAAACTTAGAAAGGGAAGAAACAAGATTAGATTAAGATTTAACTTTGATTTCAATACAAAGAAATGAAATTCTCGAGCAAGATTTGACATCTGTTATCAAAATATTAAAAAAGAAAATAATCGAAGTTGTTGAAACGTGAAAAAATAGGGAGTTGTCAAAATAATTCCTCGTGACACTTAGAGAAATCATGTTGCTGTTAAATATATATACACATACATACATACATACATATATATATATATATATATTTCAATAAAAATGTAAGTATATTGGTAGAGATATAGAATAGTCTGGATTTGCATAACGCGACCCTGAAATTGTAACGATCGAGCACTCAGGCTGATCATACATACACATATGTAGGATGAGTGAGACGCGTTATTGATGAATGCATGCATCCATTTATCTCGCTCAGTCATTCATTATCATATTCGTTCTATCTTACTTCTTGTTCGAAAGATATAGGGTAAGATAATTACATTGATCGCTAAAGGTCTAGGTATAATGTATGTTAATAATTAATTATCTAATTTCGTAATTCCTTACCTGCTAGGAAGAGTATCAGTGAAACAACTTTATGTCCAACCATTCTTCCATATTAAAAAGGGATAATCGCTTGATACCGTTAGGGCAATGCGTTAAGGATCACCACTAAACCACATTTTTCTCATTTTCTTTTTGTTACTTTCAATGCACACCTTTGTATTTTTTTTTTTAAATACGAAAATGAATTGTATTACTAATAAAAAGAGAAAAAAAATGACGAACTGTACCGTTTGACTCAACACGCTTCGCAGAACACCGCCCGTCCGGCGCTCTGATCCCTGATGTGCCAGATCCGAGGGAAGTCTGAACGTCTGCGCAGTAGTCATTTGTTCTTATTGGATATCTTCGAAACGAGAAAGATGCTGATAGTATATATATATATATGTATATGTGTAATGAAGAAAAATAATAAATTCTACTATTTTACAAAAAAAATTAGTATTTTGTAATATTAATATTATATTAATATTAAGATAATATATATTATTATTATATTATGTATTAATATAAGTATATTAATATTATCATTTAAATCACACATTATCAATAGGCTTAATTATATTCATATCAATTTACTTATATATATAATCGATGTTCAACGTTTTATATTTAAAATAATGTTTTCTATAATAATTCGAGTTAATATAATTAAATAATAATAATTTTAATATTTCTTGCGAATAATATATGATATAACAAAAGTTTGTAACTTTATCAATTGTATTCAAGGTAAATTTATATAACGTTAAATTTAATCGATTATTATTATTATTATGTAATTTAATATGAAAGTTTGTCGAAAATTCCCATTACGTTTTGTGTAATTATTATAATTTGTTGGACGTTTAGGTAACTTTGAATTGAACGATTACACAACTCCATTTATTTGCAAACACTTTTTACATAATTAAATTTTTCATCGCTAGAAATTATAAAGAAAGAATTATATATATATATGAAAATAAAAAATAGAAGAGAGAGAGAGAGAGAGAAACAAACAGATTAAAAGAATAAAAGAAAGAACTACAACAGAGGAGAGATATTTTATCTTTCCTATTTATAATAGCAACTTTCCACAGCATGGATAATTAATCGACCCAGTGGGGTTACAACGGTCTGTCAATATACATATGACAAGTGTATAAAAATATATTACAATACGTATGCATATATGTATGTGTATGTGTATGTGTATATAATATATATATATTATTTTTTATTTTTTGCACATGATACTTTTCTTGCATTTAGTAACTATGATTGTAACCTAATTATACATATATATATAGTTACGCATATATAATACATAATAGAAAGAGTATTACATGCTCTTTAACATCATCATCAATTTGACAATTGAATTTAGAAAAGAAAAGAAAATCAATCTCTCGCTTTTTCCTAATTTTTTTGGCGCAATGACAGAAATATAATTAAGTTTTATTTTTTTTTCATCCTATATATTTTTCTATTCTTATCTGAATGCAGAAAATTTTTCTTTTCTCCTTTTGAACTATTCAAGTCAAATTTTATATATATATATATATAATCATTTAATTCGAGGATAATAAAAAGAAACAAATTTCGAATTTGAAAGGTAATAATGAGCCATACAAATTTCGAAACGATAACATCAAACGCGCGAACGTGCGTTTTCATCGCTATTTATGTGTGTATGCGTGTACTTTACGCGTGTATAATAATATATGTAATTTGCATGAA